ACTTCTGTCCATGCAAGAATGCCAATTCATAGATTGCAAGATCGCCTTGAATTTTCCTCCTCTGTTGTTCAGAGGAATGTATAATCATAATGTTATTCATGGTTCATTTAAGGAGCAACACTTGCAGTTCATATGTGCATGTTAGCATGAAATTGGTGCATGAGATTAGATTATGAGCAATATAAATCAAATGACATTCAGTGCTCATATGAATAGGTCTGTACCTCTTAATGAGTCTTTTCAATAGTTATTATTTCAGAAATACGAAAGGCAACAAAATTTGATTTTTAGAAATCATTGAAAAGAGTAACAATCACCGAACAATAAATTATAATTTGAATGTCGATAGAAGAAATAACATAACAGACAAAAACAATAAAATACTCTATGACTATGAGATATTCTAATGGTTTTAGAATAAGGGAGCAAACATTATAAGGGGAAAATATTTCAAGTAAATGCCTCTATGCATGTATAGCAGTTTTACACATGACTCAATGTCGTCTTCCATCCATATGTGTGTCCATTATTGTCCTTTCAAATTAAAAGAATTTACATAAATTTTAATTGTAAATATACATTTACAGGGGAAATATTTAGCTGATATTTTGAATTAATCATAAGATCTTGGAACCATAGCACACAAGACAAAGTACATGGAATTTAAGGTGACAGATTGGCCATCTTAGTTTTAAACATAAGGAGCTCAAAAGCATGAAATGTGTAACTTTAAAATGCTTTAAATAAGGCATAACCATCAAAAGAAGAAAAATTTAGAGAGTCCAGAAAGTAAATGCTATCATATACAGTAGGATTGACTGAGTGGTCTATTGCACTGAAGTCAGGTTTGATAGCCAATATGAATCTATTTTCAGTTCTATTCAGCTCAGCTGAAACACCTCAATAGCAGAATCAATAGCCTCTGGGACAACAATAGACTGATATTCTAAAGATGTTTTATCACCCCTGGTCAGTGGTATGCATACATTATTAACTGGAGTGACCTTCTTTAGATCATTTGACAATTTAATAGTTTACAGCTCTACATGCTTGTACATGTACCAATGATATTAAACTAGTGTAGTTTAATCAAATAAATGGAGCTTAATCATGTGGGTCTATGTTCTTACAAGATGTACAAACATGAACAGGTGCATGCAATATCCATACATGTAAATAATTTAACAATGTTTACAGAACTAAGGTAAGTGTAAGCCTACATCTTGTATACCAACACATTGCCTGTATTTGGATCGACTCTATTTACAGTTATCTACAGGAGATATTAACGTAGCACATAATGATAGACAGGAAGTATAGCAAGCTTGCACATATAATACATCGTGTTGGCTTGTACACAAAATTGTGTGTTACACATTTAGAAGCAACTCATAGTCACAAGTTACAGTGTGGACTGAAAAAATATGGTCTCTTTTCTATCCTTCATTTCCTTAATTATTCAAAATTTGTGAACGTCTAAATTTTGTTAGTTTGGAAGTTTCCTGTATTATAGTTTTCAACAAGGAGATGTAATTATGTACATGTAACTGTTTAACACTTCCTCAACGTCCTTGCACAGCATAGGCATTACACATACCGGTACATAGCGGTACTGTAAGCTTTATAAACTGAGTTTTACCACTCCCTTGTGTACCAATATTACATCTCTGCAGGGTCTTGTTGACTCCGTCTCAAACTATTCTTGATCAGTTTAATTAGCTAGTTGGTCAGTGGAAAGTAAACAAGATAGTATCTTAATGATCATCTTGATAAGGGGCTGGCTCGTTATGAACTTATGACACATGACTAAAGAACTAGGAAACAACACCGAGATGTTCAACTATCACAAAACAAGGGTGTCTGGTTAAGATTCAAGAATCCACAGAGACAATGTTACTCTTTATAAAATAGAGAACTCCAATTATGATCATGTAATTGATGATATGCATAAAGACAATAACAATTGTTCTGAGCCAGAAAGACATTAACTCTGTGTTAAAGTAATCAGTAAATGCCCTTCTTAGATGGGAAAAGTTAAATAATCAATCCTATCACGTCTTTCTCCGATATTCAATTACTGCCTAATTCACCTACTCAGGAGACTTGACATGTACGTGGTGTGTTTCTTGTTACCAACTAACATGTTGAAGTCAACAAGTTTTGAAGTCTTTGCTGCAGGAAGGTTTATGAACAGCGACTGTGGACCAACTAAAAACAAAGCCACACCTAGTGAAGTGATCCGATATCGCCATTGACCTATTGCTTCAGTAATAACACTCTCACAGCGGGATATGAGGTCTGGCATTCAACAACCAATTCTCTTCACCCTGTGTTTTCTACTGTTTGGGCTTGATGTCAACTCCTCATGCTATTACGTTAGGTTTAAAATTGTACACGTACTGCTCCCACAGTTTGAACAAATTTCTCCCTTGATCAGTAATCAAATGGTACACTATAAGGGCATTTACAAGTTCCTTATCTAATTTGCCTAAAGTTCAGAATAATATGCTGTGCAAATACTATTGTCTTTGAGTATTGAAGATATAGTCCAAAGGTGCCAACCATGCCACAAGAATGACAAAACACATTACCATATGCAGCCCTCACATATCTTTCTCTATATCATATGGCATAGTCTTCCGGAAGGGGAACAAGAAAAGTTGGTAACTTCTACTTCAGAAAAGAGCAGTGATGAGTCATACTACTGAACATATTTCTCCTAGTTTCTATTCCATAAACAAATCTGTCCACCATCAGGAGAATATATGATTGCAGATTCAATAAGCATATGAATTTCCGTTCACAAATGTTTCTTTACAAGTGCATTCATATCAAATGCACTTTTTTCAGTTCATGGTGCTTGTAGTGCTTTTTATGCTGTATTTGAAAGGTGACAATTTGCTCTTGTTCATTTGTCCCTATCCCTGAGAAAACTTTGGTCAACAAGCTGTACAACTTTCGTATGAATTTCTAAAGAGCACAATATAAAAACTTCTTTGATATAATGCCTGTTGTTGGCTGTTTGTGCATGTTTACAATGGAAGCGGTTCCAACAAGTTTGACGTGTCAGATTGAATAGTCTTCCTGCCATTGGCTGATTTGGATGGATGAATCTATACAGAACAGAGCATGTTTTGCCATAAAAATCATTGCACTATAATTATATAGCCTATTTTGTGAAATCATGTGAATCCGTTGCATGTAATTGTAGACCTCTATTATTGGGCTCTTCGTAACGTAATCTTGAAATTGACAAGTTGTTGATGTAAATTGAAGTAATCAGCCATAAGCAAATTTGGATAGGAGATTCAACACACAGCACAGTAATATCTGACAATGGTACAAAATATATTTCTGTGAATCCATAATTCAGATCTTCTTCCAAGTAGAAACGTAACCAACCATAACATTGCCCTTTATAACAGATAACTTACTTTTAAGAAGCGAAGGGGTAAAAAACTGAAACTATTCTTAATAGCTGACAAGATGTTCAATAATTCAAGAATTGTGAGTTGTATCCATCTAGTAATATCCATGATTTATTCCACTTTCATTAGAGAACCTCCAAGCCTCATACATGTACATGCTTTTATGGAAAATGCCAGGACACTCAAAACAGCATAAAATCAATATTTTTTGTTAAATTTTCAAGTTCAACAAGAGGATTTAGTTTTTCATTACTACAGAAAGGCAAATATGAGGTATAGTACACTATACATAATACGCAAGTTATTTCCTTACTCAATTCTTCTACACAAGTATTGTTATTTCTCATATATATGTTTGATGATGCTACATGTATATCTGGAACCCCCTCAGTAACAAGGGACGGCTACACATAATAAGTTGAAATAGGGACAACCGATGGCTTGCTGGCTCGACAAACAGCAGACATCTTTCTGTGTTTGCACAGAAAGTAAACACTTCTTTTCACCGATATGATCATGATGGATGAAGTGGAAATGGAGCAAGATCATTGGACACCGGTCTGATGGGCAAGTCCACATCAAAATATATTAAGAGATTGAAATATTCAGCTAGAGATCCTGCATGCAAATTACATGCACGATGACAGACAATTTCAGGCCAAATTATGAGCCTTCAAACACTTTTAAGTAATATGGTTATTTTTCCCTGTTTATTCTACAGGAGAATGTGATACAGGTTGAGATGAAATTAGAAATAAAAACAATTTGAATATTGTCACTATTGATGAATACAGCAGAAATACATGTTTATTGCCTGTATCTAGAGCCATAAGGTTATGATATGACTTAATGCTCTTCTGGTTCTCACCATATTATACTGTATGTAAAGATTATATTGTAATGGTGTGAAATCATGCTTCTCCATAAATGACAGAAGATGCATTTTAAGAATAAAGATCCTTCATCTACTAGTACTCTTGTACAAGATAAAAAGACTTTTGAAAAAAGCTCAAGGGTAATTTCAATAGCCAATACTCTACTGTATACATGTATATCCCATAGACATCATTTTTAGGTTACCCAATAATCCCTGGTAATGTTATAATATTAGTTCAGTACTATAAGACATGTGCAAACTGGAGAAAACTCTGTACCAGATACTAAATAGAATCAAGTGTTTATCGCAATACAGTTTGAATCTCAAAATGTGCCCCTCCCACTTTTCGCTTGATGACAAATTCAACTGACATCGAGAGGGAAATTGATGGAGAATATGCTACCGTGTGGAATACAAGTACTTCAAAATGCTTCCTCTTTTTACTCACAATGGATGTGGAGGAAATATCTTCTAATCGTCATCTCAAATACAGGCTATGGTAATACATGGAGAGTGTAATACATGAAGGCTTCAAATCACCAGGATAACAGCTACACCACTAGACCTTACATCTCCAAGGAATCGCCTATTGTACTGCTGAGAAAGGAATGCAGTAGGCTCAGCCCCTGAGAGCATTGTACTAGAAGGACCAGGTAACTGAAGCTATTCCTTTTACAAGTACTAGGTCAACTTACCCTTTTACACTAGAGGCACTCAAGCTCGTATAAACACAAGGAAAGAGCTCACAACAATCTTCCTCTGCCGATCACTATCCAAGCTAAAATACAGCTCCACTTCCACTGCAATGCACACTTGTTGTTATATTTCCAATATTCTGAGTTCCGTTTACTGAGTCAGTCTTCACAGCCTTATGCAAGCATATGATTAAGGGTTGAGAAATGCGATGACTGGTCTTGCGTAGTGACTCGACTGACAGTCAGCCGTGGGAGTTGGAGCTTTACAGTCCCTCACAATATCATTGCATGGGGGTGGTGCGTGAGTCAAATCACCCTAGTAAAGGACGCCACATACCACTATTGTTATGCCCGCAGAAGAGGCTGATACAAAAAAGCACATCATGGCGGCCTCTCAGCAAGCAAAGCCCACTATACAAACTGAATTGAATCGGGTGCAACCATTTACAGCGTGGGGGAGGGTCCAGAGTGTTTGTTCACTCAGGCATGCACGCCTGATAAGCAAGCCATTTGTTTGTGCCTTTTTGCATACCTTAGTAAACACCAAGCCTCAACGATTCAAATGATGCCGCTATTTTGAGCTCTCATATGCATAACAAAACCTCTCTCGGAGGAAGAAATCAGCTTTGAATAGGAAGGGATTTTTGTAGAGCTCGCAGCTCCTTATCGGTACAAGGATACATGTAGCTCTACAACGACCATGCAGTGATTATCAGATGCTAGATTACACCGAAAATATATTATGCAATGTATAAATAACACAATCCTTTAAACATTTAATGACTTGAAGGCAAAATACGACAAGCAGGAAAATAGCAATGTACATGAAGGCCTACATGTACAGTTTAATAAACAGCAATCTGTTTCAACAATCTTGCTCAAATATCTACATGTAGTTGTATTCTCCACAGCTAAAAATCTTTACATTGCTAAAAACACAGTTTTGCATAGAGAATAAAGACACAGAAGTGAAAATAGAAGGATCTACGGTACATTACAATATACCATACCTTTACTCAATAAAAAGGTCAAATTAAATAAAATCACAATTGCATATTTCTCAAATATTTAAGTTTAAAATTGCTTTCATATTATTTTATTACCAATGAATGATTTTAATTATTTGAACAAGTAAGCCTATTCATAATTAACAAACTGATGATTCATAACAATAACAAGTATAAATGATGAAGACATGAAGTCATACTCAACTTTATTGTAGGATATGCATGTATCATATGTACACATTGACTATTTGATTGGTGATTCTATATTTGATTTGAACTATGAAATCAAATCAAAACAGAATATAGTTGATATACTTTGGAACCTGTTGATATGAACTTAGTCTCTAAAAGCTAACAATTAGCTTACCTCAACAAGGCTCCTATTTACTTAAGTTTATCACAGATTAAATATTAACCATGCAGTAACATCACAAGCCAACACAACATATTTCTCCAATGTAGAGTTTGCGTAGGAGAGAGAGAGGGGGACCTTTGCACACTACAAAAAAGCATTCCTAGGTAAAATGTGTTTAAGGTCACATTTAAGTACATCATTTATGTACATATTCCATGATGCAATGCAGCTGTTAAAATATGTGTCTGCAAAGTTCACTTGAAATGGGGTTGGCTTGCTTGGGCTAAATATAATGTAATTCAAATTCATATTGAATATCATGATATCAAATCATTTAGTTATCATTTATCATTCAGCATTTTTGTAAATAGCTATGCTACCTTTCATCTATTAAATACTGGTAGCCTTTGTGGGGAATAGCTATGTCTCATTTTTCTCATCAAACATATGAACATGTAAGACTCGCAGTTTCTCTTTTGAACTAGAAATACATGTAGATGTGAATAGTATTGACAAGTTTGGCCGGCATCGTCCACAAATCAGTGACTCGATGCTGAAGTTCAGAAGTAAAAGGATCTTTAAAAATAAATCAAATATATCCATGGGCTAGTATAAAAGATTTCAATGTTTATTTCTTGTGTAAAACCTGCTATAAAAATTTGAAATAATAAATCTATACAAGAACTGACAAAAGAAAAAAAAAGGCAAATTCAAATATAAGTTGAAAAAATACAACCTACAGTACTTTTACTGTAAATCATGTCTCAGACCAGCAACCTCTTTAGAGGATGTTGCGAAGTTGATTCTCATATACATGTATAAACATTTTCTCAGGGAGGGGGTGTAAAGATTTTATACAACTTCCTAAATATAGAATCAAAGTAAAAGAACAAGCAAGCAAAAAGAAGCCATAGGAGGGGGATGGGTTGTTGGTCTTACACAATGTAAGAATGTTTGTGACTTTGTGTACATTCATAATTGTAGTAATTACATACATGTACATGTTGATGTTGTTGTTCAAAAATTGACATCCTGTAGTCACTATATTAAAACAATATTTTATCCAGTCACACGAGAAGGACTCTAAATTACCATTAACCAACAAAATATTGACTATTGAGGTGATGACATTTTAGTTTGGTCTAGGCAGGGAGATTGGAGTCTAGGCTTGTAAGTAAGTGTGAAGGGGATATTAGTTACATGTTGTATCACATGAATGTATTGTGAATCATCTCAAGAAGTGACCTTCCATTCAATGTAGATTACTCACCAAACACAATTTCAGAACAAACTTTTAACAAAAATTTTCTTTTGCTTCCTTTTATCATTAAATAAATGATGTTTTTGCTCTAGTAACTAGGGACAGAGAAACACAGAACATACATGTATATTCAGGCACAAGGAAACTTGAAATGTAATTTTAGAACAAGGATAAGGTCATGCTGTTGATCAGAGGGGAGGTCACCTATTTATGAATCCTATAAAGATCGTTATGATTGGCCAAGATTGAATGATTACTTATTCGAGATTCACTTTCGACCTTTGTCCTATAAACACTGTCAGCGTGACACTTCAGATTTAGACCAAAGAAGCTGCACATGTATACCTACAAAAATTTCTATAAACAGATTCGCATTTCTCTCATGGACATATCAATATTTCTATCATGATTTTATTTATCCATGGACACAAAAACCACTCAACCGATGCATGCGATGTGCAAGTTTTGAGAGATATGCGTGTTGATGTTTTGCTGGGATTTCAACAAACAAACAAAAAACTTTCAAAGATATGGTAAAAATGTTTGCACAAGAAATACATGTTTTCCTACACCTTCTTTGACCTTTCTATAATAATATGCAATTATGCTTCTTCTTCCTACCTTTTTATTTGGGCTAGTACACTGCAAGCAAAAAAAAAGACCTGGGGGGTGTTTCACAAAGATCCTAAGTTGAACTTATCTCTAAGTTGGACTTAAAAATTATGGAAAGCCATTAGCATCCTTGAAAACATTTTGTAAAAGTTATTTTAAAAGACATAAAATGTTGATTCAAATCATTCATATTTTCTATTATCATGGGAGATTCTATGTTCTTGATGTGGAATTTATAAAAAGTCTAAAATACTTGAATTTCTGCTTTTGAATATATTTCATTTTAAGGCTCCAATGGCTGTCCATAATTTTTAAGTCCAACTTAGTGTTAAGTTCTACTTAGGATCTTTGTGAAACACCCCCCTGGGTTTTTCTCACATTATGCAGTTTTTTTGGAAGTTGCTTAGCAACTACCCATAAACATGATAAAAAACCTGAATAAAAAAACACAATGAAAACCCCACCGCAGGGGTGTTTATCTTAACTCTGTTTTTCTGCAGTGTAAATGTTCACTCTCAAAATACAGGTGAATTATTCCAGTGTTTGCTCATGTGCATGCAGAGCAGCAACAGGTCACACATGAGCACTACTAAACCCCCCTCCCCCGCAAATATCAAAAAATAAAAACTGGAGCAATTAAAACAAATACCAAAATTCACAAACAAAAATGTGCTTTTTTTTTGGGGGGGGGGGGTATTTCCAGTAGTGTAAATAGTAGGTAGTTGAATTTTTTTCTTCTTCAAATCTTTTTTTTTTTAGCTGCGTAAATGACTAAGTGTGCCTAGTATTGATAGTCAAACATTCAAAACTCATGCAATTTTTTTGTTATAATCACTTCATTATGGGAGGATTATAAAGGCAAGCATAATTGGAAAAAGTCACCAAACGTTTCAATCAATTGCACAAAAGAGATGGACAACTCACATAATAATAGGAGGTCCAATCATCATAGGAATAGTTGTGCTATGCTTTCCATTGGCCTTCAGTATCAAAGAGCCAAACTATGCAGTGACTGGCATCAGGCATTCAATTGAATTATCATAGGAAGGTCCACAGTTTGATCCATCTATTCAACATTCTTACTCACTGTGTTACTAATCAGATACAACCCTGTAGTTATCCTTGCCTGAAAGTCCTCAGCCTATGTTTCATAGTAACATGTTCCCACATTCAAACTGGTGTCATTCAACAAGCAAATGGGGATAAAAATGCAGACATATCAACTGCGTTCAGTAAAACAGACACTACTCCATGACGCCCTTTAGTGGTGAGGTGATGAAAGCTGCATTACATGTACATGTATGCATGTAGAGGATCCTTTACGGTCATTTTTCTAAATCTTCTAGAAAAGTATTTTTCTAAGTGTTATACTATTATTACTCTGGCATTATCCAAGCAGCCCTGATAAGGCACTCTGGCATTCAAGGAATGTCTTCTTACCAGGTACAGTGTACTTGTTTACATCACCTGGGTGGAGAGTGGCAAATTTAGATTATTGCCTTGCCAATTGACATCTACATGTAAGTGCTGCAGCAGGAATTGTTGTTGACCAGCTAGTTGACACCATCCTCGGTCTTGTGGAGGCACTTTGGAACATATTGGCAAAACGCAAATTGTTGCATTTGCCTTGGCAGAGGTCAGTAGACTATCAGTGCACTTATTTGGTGTTGAAGCAAGGGTCTCTACTTTTCCATTTTTCAACAATTACCAGCACCCTAAGACTTGGAACTTACACCAGGTGTACATATCATGTGAAATCAAAAGGCAATCGCAATTTGCAATCAAACCAAAGAACACTATACTACCTGTACCTTCAATTGTGGATATATATGTCAAACTGTTACCTTTCAAAGCAGCCCATGCAGCCCCTGGGAAGAAGGACTATTCCAGGCTCATTTGTACATGCTGGTTGCCCAGCAGCCCCACCTGTCCCCTCCAAGCACAAACCAAACAAACAACACCAAGTTCACTATTCACTCACACAAACCAGGGATTAACCAATTGTAAGAAGGACTAAACAAGATGCTTCCTGGACAGGAATGCAGTTTCTTTTCCTTTTCTATTGATCATATATTTTGAATTATTTTCCAATCTAATATGATATCACGAATGAGATGTTTTTTGTTAACATTCAAAAGGGAACATTCAAAAGGGGACCTCCAAGGGTGCAAATATATCAGATGCAATTAATGGCCAAAGTATGTGTGAAAATGATGTTCAACCACTAGACAATACTCAGATCTCATATCTCATTTTTCCTTAATCTCTTAGTGACTATTCTGTGTTTTTCTTTTTTCTCTCCTGCTTTT